AGTGTCTTCTTGTCTCACTGTGCCCTTGTCGCGCTCCGCGGCGCTCTGCTGGGACCGCCTTTCTGCCCGTTGAACCACCGAGTGGTTTCGTCCGGGCAGTCCGCCGGAGCCAGTCTTTGCATGCGTAGGGAGACAGCCCCTAATTATCTCACTAGTGGGTTTGAAACCCGACCAGCTACCCTCCACCTGGTTCAGCCCGCCTGCCAAAGCGGTTACCGGGGTGTGGCCGCTGGGCATGCTGCAGCTTCGTGGAGCCACAGGTGAGAGTTGAGTGTCAGGTGGGAACCAATGTAGAGAGGGCTGTCCTGAAAAGGACATGGCAGGCCTTCCCCATACAGAGTTACTATTCCTCCCTGACCACTCTACACCCCTACACATACATACATACATACATACATACATACATACATACATACATACATACATACATACGTACGTTCGTACGTTCATACATACGTACATACGTACTAACGTACATAGACTACATGCAAACATGCATACTTACAGCAACAACAACAACAACAACAACAACAACAACTACAACAACAACAACAACAACAACTACAACAACAACAATAACAACAACCAAACCAAACTCAAACAAAACAAAACAGAACCCAAAAAATACACGATTCGTTTTAAATTATTTATTTATTTATTTGTTTACAGCACAGGCCAAATTTTTTCCATGGTGTCTTTTGTAGTCTTACGGCCTACCTGTGTTTATTTTCATTGGAAATGATCCTCAGATTCGAAGGTCCCGAATTGCGACTTTTTCTGTTTGACAGTAGTGTAAGGCCATAGCATAGGCCTACAACTTTCTCATGGCCTAGAGGTTAAGGTGTTTGCCTCTCATTCAAAGGTACCAGGTTCGAATCTGGGTAGCGACGGAAAAAATTTTCTTCTCTAAAATTGTCTCCTTTCACCTCCTTTCCTGCTCTCTAGCAATGTTCTGTTGTCTGCTTTCGTCTCCGCTATCTGTCCTCACTCCCTCCCCTCCTTTGCCCCCTCCTCGTGGCTCCTTTTTCTTTCTGCAGCCTTTTTAGTGTTAATCTTTGGCTCCTTACTGCTGTCTTTCAGCCACACCCCTGATCTTCTGGTAGGAAAGATCTACACCTAGCCTTCTCGGACAAGGGCGAAAAATCTCGGAGGTCCCGTGTGCAAGTTGCATACGTTAAAGATCCCTTGGTGGTCTAATATCGATAAGAGTAGGCTTCGCCGCCCCCCGTGGTAAATTTAAAATTTCTTACCAACTAAAAATGCTTAGTGTGTCCCGCGTGCTCATAAAATGACCCTATGCAGTTGCGAGCGCTGTAAAAAAAAAATTACCAAAAAAAAAAACCTCTTTCCCTCTGCAAGAAGACGTCTATAGTGCGTTCAAATATTTGTAGCGCAATTTATTGCCAAATATTTCCTAGACTATCGAACATAGACTCTCTAGCTTTTGCATAATGACCTGTATTAATTTGTCTTACTTACTTTATTTTTACTTTTTCCTTCCTCTGTTATCCTTGGGATGTCGAGGGGGTGTGCAAGTTTCGGTCCTGTGCTAGGTCTGTGATGGATATGTTATGTTGTTCCAGGACCTTTTTAACCCCATCCAGCCAAGTCTTTCTTGGTCTTCCTCTTGAATTAAAGCCGGATTCTGGGGTGTTGTAAGCTCTAGCCGCTAGTTGTTTCTGGGGCATTCTGGTTAAATATCCAAACTAATTGACTCTTTGACGCTCTATGAATTTTATCACTGATGGTATTCCAGTTTGTAGACCTATGGTTTCGTTTATTATGCAGTCTCTTCTGGTGACGTTGATGGTTTTGCGGAGACACCTCATTTCGCATGCATTGATTTTTCTTTCTTGTGCCTTGTTTAGAGACCATTTTTGGCACTGGTATGTGTTCGTATGAAGATGCTGTTGATGAGCTGGGATTTCACTTCGGTTGGGATGTTCTTGTGACTGAGCAGGGGTGCTAGCTGGTAGGCCACTGCATTTGCCTTAATAGTTCTTGTTTCTATCCCTTTGTCCATACGCCCATCTTGTGTGAAGATGTTTCCGAAATATTTAAATTCCTCTACTTGTTCGAGCTGTGTTCCATCGATAAGAATGTTGAGTTTCCCTGGGTTTCTGCTGACCTTCATAACTTCTGTTTTTGAGATGGAGATTTTCATGTTCAGGTGTTTACATTCCTCTTTTAGTTTTGTTGTGTGTTTTTGTAATTCCTCTTCATCTGTATTTAATATACTCTAGTCATCAGCAAATAGAAGCTCATTCAGTTCAGTGATGTTGTCATTTGCTGCTTTCGTGATCTTATCCATGTAAGTGATGAAGAGAAACGGAGAGAAAACATACCCTTGTCTCACCCCAGACCTGATGGGGAACAAGTCCGATAGTCTCTCTGATGATCTTACGGCACTCAGGCTGTTTTTATAAAGTGACATGATGTTCTCCAGCAATTGTCATCATACATCATATTCCTCTAATACTTCCCAAAGTTGACATCTATCTACCCGGTCAAACGCCCTTTCCTGATCCACGAAGACGATACTGAGGTCTTTGCCATGTGCAATGGCAGTCTCACACAACTGTCGTAATGCGAAAATAGCGTCAGTACAGCCTGTGCCCTTTCTGAAGCCAAACTGGGATTCACTGAGTTGAGTCTCTACACTTGGTCTCGTTCTCATTTCCAGTATTTTGGCAAACATTTTGCCGGCATGGCTGAGAAGGGATATTCCTCTGTAAGTTCCTCAGACTCTTTTGTTACCTTTCTTTTTCCAAATGGGTACAATGACAGGTCGTTGCCAGTCATCGGGTGTTGCTTTTGTCGCCCAGGCCAGGTTAAATATCCTCTATTTTTAGAATTCACCGATATGGCCACATAGCTTGATCTCTTCTACTGTGATGTTATCAACGCCTGGCGCTTTGTTTGTGGGCCTTCCTTTATAACATGTTGGGTTTCACTCAGCAGTATTGATGGTTCTGGAGTGATTTCTTTTGGTAAGAAACTGTTTGGTGTTGTTTCTCATGTAGGATTCAGCAGCTCCTGGAAATAGCGTTTCCATCTTTCTGTAATCTTTGCCTAACTGAAAATAGGGTTTCCGTTCTCATCATTGACTATTTCAGTTGAGTTGAATGGTTCTTCTCTCATCCTCATGATTTTAACGCTCTCGTAAAACTCTCTGGGGTCTTCTTTGCATTTTGTTGCCAGCTGTTCTCCATATAATTCTCTTAACAGATCAATATTTTTGTAAACACCTATTGGTCGTATTCTAGAAAATTCCTGAATAAATACAACAATTTTAAAAAATCCAAGTGGGTTGTTTCTACAGATTTTAAAAAGTTCACTGCAGAGGTAAACATCACTTTTAAAAGCAAGTCCGACTTTTTTTTCTGATCACGACATTTTGCGCATTGAACACGTTTTGAGAATCTTTAGTGCCGAAAAAAAAATGAGTTCACTATAAAATTATTTTTTGTAACTAGTTTTGCCACTAAAAAGTGTCATTGAAAAGCTGTGATGTAGGTCATATGCGTATGCTAAATGTTTGTGAGAATAGCGGGAAGCGCTGTGAACAATCCCATTTTCCACGAAACGGATATTTATTTATAGCACTTGTATTTCATATAAATTTATGAAGAAATGTTTTTTTTTTAATTCAGCCTCAATAGTTGTGGGAAAATATGATTAATTTAAGACAAATTGATACAAAACTGCTGTGCAAAGTGTGACATGGTTCGTCAGTTTCAAGAATTTTTTGGGGATAAGTTGTGCCTCAATTTTTTACCGCATTATTGTTGGCATTGGTTGAAGATATCTTTTCGTAATAGGCCTATGGATTGTGGAACGCACAGAGCTTGATTTTGAACGGGAATGCACGCTACACAAATGCTATAATTTGTTGTTGTTGTTTTGGGGGGGATAGTTGTTAATGTTGTTATTATCATTGTTGTTGTTATTGCAGCTA